CGCTGCAAGGAATTCATCAACTGGCTCCTGGCGCAGCGGAAGGGCAGCGTCTGCATCCGCGACGTGTCTGAGCGCGAGGACGCCACCGAGATCCACATCCCCGAAAACTGCAAGGGCTGGGTCACCGGCAACCGCGGCAGCGAGCTCCGGCGGATGGAGGATCGTTGACGTCCCGTGAGATCTGGGCGCTGCATTTTTTGTTCGCAGCGGGCGTTCTCGCCAGATTTTTTGGGCCCGGGACCATCACAGATCGATCCGGCTCGAAAAGCGCAGCAGGAAGATGGGGTTTAGCGCTCCAGTCGTGATGTTTGATGCTGTTTCAGCTTTTCCGCGACGTCGGATTTCAGGGCCACCCGAGATTGCAGGTTCTCGTCGTCGTCGAAGGCGCAGCTCCTAACAGGGGCAGCGTTGGGCGGAGATGAGCTCCGGGGGGGACGCATCGGCCCCCCCAATCGCCCTTTCATCGCCGATGGGGGCCCGATAGCCCGCCCCGCCCACGAGCGTGTGGCTTCGTGTCCGGGGCCCGTCGCCGATCCACCGGCAGCACTTCCCGGAGTCCAGGGCGAGGTCTCCCTCCCCGAGCGGGTCCCCCCCGCTGACGTTGCCCCTGCATCCTGAGGGGGGAGGACGTTTTCGTTGGCTCTCGGAGTGCTTCTCGCCCCAGGAGGCTCGCCAGCAGGCGCGCCTCGTCGAGGGGCGCCCGGCGGTGCCAAGATCGTGCCGACTGGCCGTCGGAGGCTGCATGGCACCTTCACTTTTGCCGGTCGTGTGGGATGGCGACGGGGGAAAACACGGGGGGCGATACAGTGGAGACCCATGCTAAGAGACACCCTGCTTGCCTCCAGGGTGCTCTGGGTTTCTTGGGGTTCTTGCACTGGAAAGCGCGACGCCCCCACACCAAAAATCCTTGGGCGTCCTGGGGTCTCAGGGTTGGGTTTCTTGTGGAAGGTTTCTGGTGGACTGGCCTCCGCTGTATGAGCAAACTGGCAATTCGCTTTCTGCCCCGCTGGTGAGCTTCTGCTGGGCCGATCGGGGAGGACGCCCACGAGCCAGCTCGGAGCCCAGCTTCTAAGCATCGCCCTTGGCGCTGCTGCGTGACGGGCCACCCTGGGCACTTCTTGCTCGCCGTCCCTCGCAGCGCCCCCCTGGCCGACCCTGGTCCGCGCACGTGCCTCGGTCCATGAAGCGCCGACTGCCCCCCCCCTGCCCCCCTACCAGACCTCCGACGTGCATTCGGAATCGATCGTAAGGACGAGCCACCTCCCGCAGGGTGCCCTTGCAGCCTTGCCTCCTCCTCGGTCCATCCTGACCCCCTTCTGGTGGCCAGCCGCGCTCGAGCACGCCTCAACGCGGGCGCCCAAGGGTTTTGCATCCTTCCGCGCCCGTGCCATCAGCTTTGATTGCCATGCTTTTCACGGTGTGGGCTCCCCCAGATTTGGCCTCTCTCCCTAGGATCGGCGTCTCGTCCGGCGTCGTTGTCGCACGGCCCCGAGGCTTGGCGATGCCCCCCCCAAGAGCCGAACATTCTTTACACCTGTGTTGTGGGGGGGCCGAACATTACACTCGGGGCGCTGCTGAAGAAGGAACCCTTTTCGTTGGGGAGGGGCTCGGTGTTCCTTGATTGTTTCACAGTTTGCCTTCGGTTTTCCGTAGGCGTTCGATGGAAAATCGAAGGTTCACTTATGGATAAAAAGGGGGCCTCGTTCCTCATGCAGGGCTCCTTGGGGTCAACGCCCGGACTGTATTTATGAAACCGTAGCGATTGTTCACGACGCGAGCAGGTCGGCGTTCGTGCCAGGGCTCGGGCCTGAGGTATCGGGCGTTCGTGTGGGACGCAGAGGAGGAACAAAAGGTACCCATACCGCTGCCCTGCCCTCGTTTTCCCCTGTTTGGGGGCCCGGGAGGCCCTCGTCACCACTGCCGGGTTCGCTTCGAAACTCTGGTCAGAACGCACACCGGGAGAGGCCCGGGGAGCAGCGACACCTCGGCGAGGCGCACGTGCTGGAAGACCGCCAAGAAGCGACGTAACTGTCCGAAGACCTCGAGCGACGAAGCGCGAGGAAGTTTGGACTCTGAATGGGTCGGCCGGGGGCGGGGGGGTCGGAATCTGCTCCATGCAGCTGGTTGCGACCCCTCCGTTTTGGGCGCCCCTCTCGACAGATTGGCGCCTCTGGTGCCAGGAGGCGTCGGGCAGGTCAGCTACGTGAGCTGATTCGCTACCCCCCACCCTCTGCTATCCCTCCCTTTTGTTCGACCCGACCTGGGCTCTTGGGCGCACCCGACAGGAGGAGACCCAGACATACATGTTCATGGCGGTGGACGAGCGCGGCGACGAAAGGCTCACCGACCCGGGGTCAAAGCGCTGTCTTGACAGAGTGACAGGGCGGGGGTCCTGAGGCATTTTGGCGACCCCCGCGCCCTTCCTGCGTGCAGACAGCGCCCTGCGTCTCACCTCCTCCCGCTGTCCCCTCCCTCCTCCCTCTCGTCCCTCCTCCCATCCGCCTCGTCATCGCCATCGTCATCGTTATCATTGTCATCATCATCGCCATCGTCATGTTCCATATCATCATGGTCATCACTACCGCCACCGTCACATTTTGGCACACCTCTCACACGGTTCGTGGCCCCACATAGAGCACCACCGAAGGCCCCATATGGAGTTCCACCGAAGGCTCCACTGGCACAGGCCGCATGCGTCGGCGCCACCCAGGACAGCGTGTCGTGGCCCCATAATTAGGGAGCTCCACCGAAGGCTCCAATGGCACAGGCCGCATGCGTCAACGCCACCCAGGACAGCGTTTCGTGGCCCCATAGGGAACTCCACCGAAGGCTCCAGTGGCACAGGCCGCATGCGTCACCGCCACCCACGACAGCGCTTCGTGGCCCCATAGGGAGCTCCATCGAAGGCCCCAGTGGTTGCGTTCGCATGCGGTTCCGCCCCCATGTCGGCACACCCCTCACAGGTTTTGCTGCCCCATGGGGAGCTCCACCGAATGCCCCAATAGCTGCGTTCGCAAGCGGTTCCGCCACCATTTCGGCACACCCTTCACGTGTTTTGCAGCTTCATAAGGGGGCCCACCGAAGGCCCCAGTGGTTGCGTCCGCATGCGGTTCCACCCCCGTTTCGGCACACCTCTCACATGTTTTGTGGCCCCATAGGGAGCTCCGCCGAAGGTCCCAGTGGCGGAGTTCGCATGCGGTTCCACCGTCGTTTTGGTACACTCTCGCACGTCTCGCACGTTTCGTGGCCTCAGGGGGAGGGAGGGGGCACGGGCACGCCTTCGCACGTTTCGGGGCAGCAGGGGGTGCGGCGGGCGCGTGCCCGGCGCGCGCGCGGCGGGCGATAGCCCCAAGAGTGAGCAGGGTTCTGAAGAATTTCGGATGAGCCAGAAGGATATCGAGAGGAATGCCGAAGTATTAGCAGGAATCCAAAGGAACTCACAGGAATCAAAAGGAATCCTGCAACATTTGCAGGACTTTCGAGGAGCCCAGAGAACTCAGAGGAACCCTGCGGAAACATTCAAGGAAATCCATGGAGTTCGGGAGAATTTGAAGTCACCCAACGGAATCCAAAGCAAGTTTGGAGAATCCAATGGGGGGAAATAGGCATCTGAAGGTGACGCCCCGCTGTCAAAAATTCATTGGGGGGGCGAGACTTTGAAAGCACCCAGATGAGCCCAGAGAAAATTGGGAGAATCCAGACGGTGGGGGGTGCCGAATTGCTATTTGGCATTGGGGCCCCAACTTAAAATGAGGAGGCCGTACGACGTTTTCGAGTCTAGAGGAATCTAAAGGAGTTTGGAGAAGTTTTGGGGAATCTGGGGAAGTCCGAAAGAATGCGCGAGGATCAAGAGGATTCCTTTGGAATCCAGGAAACCTGGAGTATTCCAAGTGAATTCTGAGGTGTCCGACGGAACCTTTGGATGGTTTGAAAATTTGAAGAAACCAAAAGAAGTTGCGTGAATCGGAAGGAGTCCTGAGGAATCATCGGAGAGTCGAAAGGACGCTGGATGAACCTGGAAGCTCGAGGGACCCAAAAACATGAAAATTAATTTGGTGAGATGTGCAGGAACCATGAGGAGCCCAAAGGAACCCAGAAGAACCCCTAAGAATGTAAAGGAACCCCGCGGAAGCTGTAATAATTTCAAAGCGCCCGAATGGATTCAAAGGAAGTTGGGGGGATCCAGCGGAGGGAGGAGCCCGAATGGCCATTTGATAGTGGGGCCCGATTGTCAAATGCATATTCGAGGGCCCGGGCTGGGGGGCCCGAGTGGCGATTTGATAGTGGGGCCCCATTGTCAAATGGAGTACGGGCCATGGGGGCGGTGCGATGTGTGAGGTGCAACGGCTTGTTTTGATGTCTGCTATGTGTGTGTGTGTTGTGTTGTCTGATGTGCGGCGTTGTCGTGTTTTTTGTCTAGTGAATCTCGTTGAATCTCTAGGAATCCCTTTGTCTTCCCCCACGAAAGGAATCCCTTTGTTACCACCCACACAAGGAATCCCTTTGAAATCCGCACACGAGGACTCCCGTTGCAATCCGCCCCAGAGGAAAGGCGTTCTCCCCTCCGAACAAGGTACAGAAAAGTCAGGGCAAACAAAAAGCATAAACAATCAGAAAACACCTGTAAATGCACAGCGGGGAAGAAGGAACAACCGATATTATCTCCAGGGGAGAAAAGGGAAAATAGGAACAATTGGAGAGACAATATACATCTGTTTGTAATCCTCCACGAAGGAAGTCCCTTTTGCAGACCGCACACAAGGAAATCCCTTTGTGGCTAGTCACAAATGGAATCCCTCTGTCTTCCCCACGAAAGGAATCCCGATGTAACTCTCCACAAGAAGGAATCCTTTGAACTCAGCACAAAAGGACTCCTTTTGTAATGCGCCTCAGAGGGGAGGCGTTCTCCCCTCCGAACAAGGTACGGAATATCAGGAACAAGAGGATCCATATGATAAAACCTGTAGAAACACAGCGGGGAACAGGAACACATGATATTATCTTCAGGGGAGAACAGGAAAAGTAGGAAACATGGGAGAGACCGTAGAAATCCTTTTGTAATCCTCCAAAAATGAAGTCCCGTGCAGTCCGCAGAAAAAAGGAAATCCTTTTGTGGCTAGCCACAAATGGAATCACCCTGTCTTCCCCCACGAAAAGAATGTCGTTGTAACCCGTCCACAAAGAGGAGTCCCTGTCAACTCCGCACAAGAGGACTCCCTTTGTAATCCGCCTCAGAGGAAAGGCGGTCTCCCCTCCGAACAAGGAACGGAAAAGCAGGAACAAGAGGAAACATATGACAATATGTGTGAAAACACGGCGGGGAAACGGATCACATGATATTATCTTCAGGGGAGAAACGGAGACATAGAAAACATTGGAGAGACACTAGAAACATGTTTGCAATCATCCACGAAGGAAGTCCCTCTGCAACCCGCAGGAAAGGAAACCCCGTTGTGGCTAGCCACACAAAGAATTCCTCTGTCTCCCCCCACGAAAGGAATACCGTCGTACGTCTCCACAAAAAAGGGAACCCCATAGAATTCCGCACACGAGGACTCCCTGTGTACGCCGCCTCAGAGGAAAAGGCGTTCTCCCTTCCGAACCAGGTACGGAAGAACAGGACCAACCAGAAACAACCAGAAAACACCTGTAAATGCACAGCGGGGAAAAGGAAGACATGAGATTATCTTCAGGGGAGAAGAGGAAACATATGAAACATTGGAGAGACATCAGAAATCCTTTTGTAATCCTCCACAAAGGAAGTCCCGTTGCAGTCCGCGGAAAAGGACATCCCGTTGTGGCTAGCCACAAATGGAATCCCCCTGTCTTCCCCCACGAAAGGAATGTCGCTGTAACCCGTCCATAAAGAGGAGTCCCTGTCAACTCCGCACAAGAGGACTCCCTGTGTAATCCACCTCAGAGGAAAGGCGTTCTCCCCTCCGAACAAGGAATGGAAACTCAGGACCAGCAAGGAAACTATGACAAACTTTGTAACAACACAGCGGGGAAAAAGGAACACACGATATTATCTTCACGGGAGAAAAGGCAAATAGGAAACATTGGAGAGACCATCGAAATCCTTTTGCACCCCCCCACAAAGGACATCCTTTTGCAGCCCGCAGCAAAGGAACTACCACTGTAGCTAGCCGCGAGTGGAATACCTCTGCCTTCCCCCACGAAAGGAATGCCGCCGTACGTCTCCACAAAAAGGAATCCTTGTGAACTCAGCACAAAAGGACTCCCCGTGTAATCCGCCTCAGAGGAAACTGCGTTTTCCCCTCCGAACAGGGTAACGAAAGCAGAACAACGGAAACATATGACCCAACGTGTACAAACACAGCGGGGAAAAAGGAACACATGAGATTACCTTCAGGGGAGAAGAGGAAAAATGGGAAACATTGGAGAAACAGTAGATATCCTTTTGTAATCCTCCACGAAGGAAGTCCCTTTGCAGTCCGCGCACATGGAAATCCTTTCGTGGCTAGCCAGGGATGGGATCCCCCTGCCTTCCCCAGCGAAAGGAATGTCAATGTAATTCTCCACAAAAAGGAACCCTTGTGAACCCCGCAAAAGAGGACTCCTTTTTATAATCCGCCTCAGAGGAAAGGCGTTCTCCCCTCTGAACAAGGTACGGAAAACCAGGACACAAGGAAACATATGACAACACCAGTAGAAACACAGCGGGGAAAAGGAACACATGATATTACCTTCAGGGGAGAGCCAGAGAAATACTACACATTGGGGGGACACTTGAAATCCTTTTTGTAACCCTCCACAAAAGAAATCCCGTTGCAGCCCGCACAAAAGGAAATCCCCGTTGTGGCTTGCCACACATGGAATCCCTCTGTCTTCCCCCCACGAAAGGAATGTCGCTGTAACCCGTCCACAAAGAGGAGTCCCTGTGAACTCCGCACAAGAGGGCTCCCTTTGTAATCCACCTCAAAGGAAAGGCGTTCTCCCCTTCCGAACAGGGTGCGGCAACAAAAACAGGAAGAAAGGAAACATATGAAACATAGGAAAGCACGGGTAAACAACAAACGCAGTGAGGAAAGACATACTGAGATTCTATGCAGGGGGGATAATGAAAATATGAAACATTGGAGGCCACCCAGAATCCTTTTTGTAATCCTCCACACAAGGAGATCCTTTGTAATCTCCTATACAAGGAAACCCACTCGCAATCGTCCACAAAAAGGAATTCCGAATTAATCCTCCACAATAAGAGTCGTTGTGCATTGGATTACAAAAGGGTTTCCTTTAGTGGAGGATTGCAGAAGGAGCCCGATTGTCTCTGATTTGTTTATAGCTTCCCTGTTCCCCCGTGAAGTTGTTTTTTTTTGTTTTTTGGTTTGTCCCGTTCCCCCTCTTTGTATGTGTATACCTATATATTATCATTGTTTATTGTTCTTCCGTTCCTTGTTCGGAGGGGGGAACGCATTTCGTTTGAGGCGGATTACAGAAACGGTTTCCTCCTATGCTGAGTACAGTTGGGATCTTTTT